AAAATACTTCTAAATTCTGCAAATAAATTAATAAATTAATTTAACAAGTTACATCTAATGATAAACTTAGAGTTATATCAGCTTTTATTTGCTAAGCTAATATTAAATAAAGACATTTTTTTAAAATTATTTTTATTACTTCATATAGTAAAAATTTAATTTAGAAAGTTATTAACCATTTAAAAACTAAAGATATAAAATGATAATAAAAATATAATAAATGATACCTAAACAAAAACTTTATAAAAATCATATGTAAAATATATTACTGATAGATAACATTAATATATTTAATATATGTTAATTTATTTAATATTAATAATATATTAATAAAATTATTTTATTTTTTAGATTGTCTAGCAGATAAATTTGCCTGTAAACTTAAAAAAATGTGTTAAGTTTTTTAATAAAATATTAAATATTAATTTTAGTAATATAATAATTATATTAAAAATATAGTTTAATATATATTTTATTAATTTTATTAGAAGAGATTTTAAAGTTATAAGATATTTTTAAATATTTAATTTTAAATTTAAATTTTAAAAAATTTATTATAATAATTTTTTAAAAAAATTCTTTAAAATTTATATGTTGGCAAACTAATTGATCAATTTATTACTAATAAAAGTCATAAAATTTTTTAGTTAATTATAAAAAGTATAATAATTAAAGTTATTCTTTATGATAAATTTTATAATATTTTATTATGATTAATATTACTAAAAATAAATGTTAATAAGATTGTTAAAGGTCAATTATGAATTTTTTTAATTTATAATTTTTTAAAAATTACAAATTTTTAGCTTATAACGATAAGTAACTGTAAATTATTTATTATATTATAATATAATACATATTTATAAAATTAATTTAAAAATAGTAAATAAGTAGACAAATTTGCTTGTAAATCTCTACAATCTAAGAGATAATATAATATTTTTATTATATGCTGAATTACAAACTTATTTATTAAATTTTATTAAAATAAGTATTATGAAAATATGCAAAAAATATAGCAAAATATGACTGTTATATTATTATAAATAAATAAGTTAAAATTAATTTACTAATAGATAAATTATCTTCTCTAAAATTAGTTTAATACTCAAAGAATAAATCTTAATAATTACTATCACAATTTAAATATAACTTGAGATTTAATAGATCTAAGTGATTGTATTAATATTAAGTAAAATAATTCAATTTAAGTTATTATAATTATACAATTATTAAAGTACTTTGAATGAATTTTAAAGTTATTTATTTTAAAAAAAAATTTTTTTAATAATTTAAATTATTTATTTTCATTTTATTTACTATTTTATACTTTAAAATTATTTATTTTTTGTTTTTTATAGTTTTTTAAATCATTTATAATTTTTTTTAAAATTTATAATACTTTTCTTATTTTAAATAATATTTTTTTAATTTTAATGAAATAAGAACATTTTATTATTTTTATTTAAATAAAACTTAAACAAAATGAAATTTTATATTTAAATAAAATTATTTATATAATAAAAAGAAACTTTTTCTATAAATAAAAATAATATTATTTAAAAAGCTACTTATATTATAAGAAATATATAGATAGGATTTAAAATAAAAAATAATAATAATAATAATATATGTTATTTATTTTATAGATTATTAATTATAATAATTGTTAAGTTACCTAACCAAAAAAAAATCAGATAAAGTTAATTAACTAAACTCTAATTATTAGTATTATATAATTAATATTAATAATAATAATAGTTACAGTCATAATTACAATTAGGTATATTTATTTAATCTTTTTTAATTTTAATTATTCATTATTCTTTTCATAAATTTTTAATAAATTATTAATATTTCATTATTTTTCTTTTAAATAACTTTTCAGCTTTTTAAATATTACATTTAATAGGTTATTTTTTATTTTATTTATTTGATAAATAGTTACTAATAGTTTATTTTCCTTTTCTTTAGATAGTAATTGTTTGACTCTTTAGACATAATATTGTAATAAGTTTATTATTTTTTTTATTTTTATATTGTAGCAAAACATTAGTTAATATTTATTTTTTACTTTTTTAAATAGGTCATAATATATGAATTTGAATAGATAATTTGCAATTATTAATATTTTTTTTTAAATTTATTCTTAATAAAACAATTACTAATATTTCATTTTTAGACATATTTTCTTTTTTTTAAAATAGACTTTCTTTAGGTATTTAAATAAATTTAATCTTTTTAAATTGCTTTTGTTTTGATTTTTCTTTTTTTAGATAATTAAATTTTTGTATATATAAGAATTCAGTATTTTATTTTTTTGAATCATATTTTGATAATATGTTTATTAATGTTTTATTACTTCTTTTTATAGGTAACTAATTATTTAAACTTCTGTATATAAATCTGATTCCAAATATTAAAAAAATCAGATATAATATTTTTTTGATTTGACTCTAATTTTAAAATATTATGATTATTTTTTTTAGTTTTTTTTTTTATTTTATAGGATTTTGACTTTGATTTTAAAATAGAATCCCTAGATAAATTTTCAAAAATAATTTAAAAATAACTTATATAAAATATTTAACAAAATATTTATCTTTTTAATTTTAAAAATTTTATTTATGAGGACCATTAATATAGTATCATATTAAAACTTTTTGATATTTTATCCAAAAATTAATAGGATATCAAAAAATTAAAAATAAAGTTCTATTAAAAAAGCTATATAAAATAATCCACTTTTTAAGGCTTTTATAAATATATATTAAATATTTAAATTTAAGTAAAATTGAAGAATTATTAATATTAAATAAATAATGATTATTATTAACTTTTTTTAATTAAATTAAGATAAATAGTTTATATTAATTCTATATTAGAATACCAATTTTATTAGTATTCAAAAACTTAAAAAATCATGTTAGTTTAAATTTTCTGATCAATTTATTGATTATACATCTTATATTTATTTTATACATAATTATATAAAAAAACTAATCAAATATTATTCTTAAAGAATTTTATTATAATGCAGTTTAAGCAAATAAAATAGAAAAAAAAAATTATAAATAGAATATTTATTATATTAATAAATGTATATTTATCAAAAAAGCATAAATTTTAAAGAACAAAAAGAAATAATTATATATAAATAGAATTTTCAAATAGACTATATAGTAGTTTTAATGTATTTTTAATAATTGTTAAAATATTTTATTATCTTTTTAATAGATAACAGTTGTATTATTATATATATATTTTAATATATTTTAGATATTTAATAAAAATATTATTATTATATAGTAAGGTCAAATTAGAGTACTAGGATAAAAGTATTTAAAAAGCTTTATAATCATTATTTTTAAGCCTTTTAGTTATATAAAATTAATATAAAATTAAAGCTTAAAATTAATTTAGACTTCTTTTACATATTTTAATATTCTAGTATCTAATTTAAAATAAAATTAACTACTAGATACTAAGAAAATATATTGTTTCTTTTACATTTTTAGCTTGATTTTAAATCTAATTAGAATATCAAAAAAATATACCATTTTAATTAAGTTTAAGATGATGTAAGATTTGTAAGAACTAAAATATTTAAAGATAAACTTATGAAGTCTTTGTAAATCTACTTTGTATACTAATTTTTGTAATATTTTAGAATTAATTTTAAAAGTGATTCATTAGTGTAAATAAAAAGTTATTATAGGTATTATATGATAATTCTAATCACAAAAAGGTTAGACTTATCTGTTATTAAAATTATAATTTAAGAATTATTAAACTTATTCTAGTATATCAATAATTTTTATTATATAAGAATCAATTCTAAAGCTAAATTTTTTACACAAATATTAAAATAAAAATAGTATTAAAGATTAGATTTATGGATTAAAAGTTAAACTTTTGAATTAAAGGTTATACTTACAGTTAGATTTACATATTAATGATTAGACTTACAAATTGAATTTAACAAATGGAATTTATATAATATTACTATATTAGATTTTAAACTAGAGGTTAGACTTATAGATTAGATTTACAGGTTATATTTATACAAGATGTAGCTTTTGCTTATTTTTTTTACATCTTTTTTCTTATATTTATTTGAAAAAGAAATCCTATTAGATTAAGTAATCAGTGTAAACAATCAGGATAGGTAAGATCTTATTAAGAATTCTGCTATATCAAAGAAGTATATTTATTCAAAATAAAATAAATAACAGTTATTTAACCTCTTTCTGAATAATGTTTGCATATTATTAATTATGATTAAAGTGAATTAATGGAATAAAAAAATAAAGCAAATAGGATAGGTAAATAAGATAGGTAAACAAAATAGATAATTAAAATAGATTAGAATTATAATATATTAAGAAAGAAGATCTAATATCTAAGCTTTATCCTAAAATTTATTAACATATACAATTATATAATAACTCTAACATGTAATCAATATTAACTTATTTCTTATAAATATTTGAAAAAAGAAAATATATTAAAATAAATAATTAAAATAAACAGACTCTTCTGAATTAAATTTTTGATCAAATAGGCATTTAAAAAATAAAAAAAAGTAATTAAACATCAAAATCATATGATTAAATATTTTAAAATAAGCAAAAGTTTACATATATATTAGAGGTTAGACTTATTATAATATTATAACTAGAAAAGATAAAAGAATCGCAAATATATCAGCTGTAAAAACTTTAGCTAATTTATAAAAATTTCATTAGCATTATAAAAGTAATAAAAACTAATGTACTTCTAAACCTTTTTTGTATATTGTATTCAAATCACATTCTCTAGATATGATTAATGAGAATATTTATGTTTCAGTGACTTCTTTACAAAAAGTAATTTAAGAATCTATTAACTTACTAGTGAATATAATCAATAAAAATATTCATATTTCAGCATTAGTACTTCATATGTGAGAAAAAGTTTGAAGAAAAGAATTACTAAGAAGAATACATCTCTTTCATGAAATGTATCTGAACCTAAGTAAACCACCTCATAGATCAATGATTAAGGAGAAGATAATCCTAAAGCTAGACCTGACCCAGAAACTTAAGCTCATAGTGAAGAGGTAAGAGGTTAACTTCAAACAAATAATCAAGATTAAGAGAAGAGGAGTTGGGATTAATAGATTAATAGATATTACTAATACTAAAATATCAGAAGGAATACTTAAAGAAAGACATATAAAAATGGAATGAAATGGGCATAAAATTTTAGTTCTTTCGGAAGAAAAAGGCAAATACTTCAAATTAAAATATAATGAAGGCAAAAAAATTATAGAAGTTAAGCCACCTTGAGGCAGTGATGGCAAATGACCAGGTCATTTGATAATTTTGAAATGACCTCTGAATGACCATCAAATGGCCTAGTCATTTGAGGTCATTTGTCATTTTATAATTTAAATATAATACAGGCCAAATTCTATATGCTGGCCAGAATTAAAAATTTATATCACATGAAATATTTATTAAAACGTTCGAATCATTAAATTACATTAATTATTTTATTGAGATCATATGATATAATTTTTAAATGATCAGGTCATTTGTCATTTAATGTTGAAATGACCCAAATGACACAAGACCAGTCATTTGAGTCATTTGAGGTCATTTGTTTCACTTGCCATCACTACCTCGAGGATACATAATATTCAAAGAAATCTCAAATTAGACCTAAAAGACCACACAGAAATCTTTCTTCATTAGGCAAATGAGAAGGGGTAATTCCATCACAAGAAAATCCAGCTTACGCATTTAATAAAGAAGTCGGTAATGCAAATGATTATAAAGACGTTCCATATATACCACTTCTTTTTTCATTGCACGCGAATAAATGATAAATGTTCTTAAGGGAGAACTTTTCAAAAAAAGAACAAATAAAGTCAGCTTTAGTCGTATATGCTACATATGTAACATACACATATAAATGAAAGGGAGTATCTCTTAAATTAAAAAAGTAAATTAAAAAAAGCTCGGTGCCGTGTAATCCTCGTGTTTAAACGTACATTTGTTTGTTTTTTATTATAATTCAAGTTCAAAGTTCGAAGCGGTATTCAAAAGTGGTGACTTTAATGTAATCGATTATATGTTATCTAGATAGATCTAAGAAACAAAAATCCGATTTGGTAATTAATAATTATTTTGCACGTGTTTATATGATAAAAAAAAACCTGACGGTAATCGGTGTAATTTTCCACGGAGGCTAAAATCGATATTGTAGTAACTTGTTGGTGAAAAAATTTTTATTATTCAGGTTAAAATGAAATATATTTATGGTAATTATGTTAAAGGATATAGAATACATTAAAAAAAAAAAAATAAATTGATAATTCGCAATTAGCCAAGTATATTTATTTATTATTATATTTATTTCTTTGATTAACTTTTTTTTTTTTTTTTTTACTTCTTCTTATCCTTCATTGAGGAAAAAGTTATTTCAATAAATCATTAAACGTTTTGGATTCATTTGAAGATTATGTCTCATTTTTACCATGTCTGTTTAATATTGATTTATGGGAGTAGGAATGTTATAAGCATTTCCTAATTTAACTATGTTTCCATTTAAATAATCAATTTCCGTTGCCAGATTTCTTTTGATAGATTGTAATGATAAAGATTCAATGACGAGTCTTTATGCATATTTGAAACCGGCATCAATCAATCTATCTCGTCCTAAACATTCCGTTAACGTTACAATAAATTCGAGGGACTAAAAGTATATTATTACTCTATTTAAATTCAGCAAGGTCATAGTGGCCAAAAGACATAGGACATATTGAACAGCAATTAAAAATGTTGTGACAAAATACATATATTTGGTAGATAATAAATTTTTTTTTGGGCCAACATTATAAAATAAATCGTTTCCACCTATAAAATCGATTAAAAATGTTTGCAGAATGCCTACGATTCAAGCGCGACCTATTAAAGGAGAGCCTATCCGCAAAGACCATATAAACATAGGTTTTTCTAACTTTGTATACCAAAATTTGTTGATTTTGGATTTAAAATTATAGCTCAATTTTATCATCCATTTTCAGGTCATGTGACTGATTATTTTTTAAATATCTATTCTTATTGATCAGAATTTCAAAAATTAAATCTAATGTCTAAAAATGCTTTCGCTCTAAGAAAAATCAAGAAATTCAAGAACGACTTGAAGATGAAGTCTCGCAAAAAAGGGTGTAACGTCTCGTTATAGATCACGATACGGAAAGAAAACAACTTCAACAAGTATAGACATGCTAGAAGCAGAAAATTATCGTCAAAGGGAAGCATCGTTGCAGCAGTGGTTATTTTACAAGGAAGACAAGAATTGGTACCAGTTGGGTGGTCTGGGTGGTGGTTGGGACTTTTGTTTTTGTTGGCTTTCTTTTCAGTATTTTACTTCGTTGGTGTTTCTTTGCCAACTATTAGATACAAAAAGAACAATTTAAAAATTCCAATTTCTGCAAGCGATTTATGTTAAAAATATATGGGTCGTTCGCTATCACAGATCAAGGGAAAAAAATTTTTTCTCATAAATAGAATAACTGAATAAAAAAAAATAAAATAAAATAAATTTTCTTTGGTATTTTCTCATATCCCTTTCTTTTCTGTCAAAAACAAGCAAGTTGTTTATAACTCTGTTGTCATTTCTTGTTTATTTTTCCAATTGAATCCAGCTTGATTAAATTCTGAAAATCTTTCATTGAAACCTTTCCTCCTTACAAAAAAAAGTCCAATGTCCACAAAACTTTACCGACCGTAATTCTAAGCTATCCAATTTAAAGTACGATAAAATCAACAACAGTAGGATAGTTAAAATGATTCGTGAAAAAAAACAAGAAAAGAAATTATTTAATTCTTCTAATGCTTTGAAATATTTTATCATTTTTTTCTTTCTTTTGTTTCAAACTTAAAACCAACGGTAACGGATGCAATTGAAACAAATATAATCGATACAATAATAATACAGAAAACTCCTCCCCCCTCTTTACCAACTTCTCTGTCAATTCCGGGAAAGAATTCTTCCGCCTCTAATGATCGTATTCCCATCATAATAGTGATTTCCTTTCTAGTAATACTCTTTATCACGGCCCTTCTATTTGTATATATACATGGAAACATCAGCAAAAAGCTCTAACTACCGCAATAATAGATGGAGAAACGGGAGAAATTTCCATGTCCGATTCACCTCACCCCACCGCCCCAACCCCTCTACCACACGCTTTTTTGAGAGATGATGAGATTTCGCAACATTCAAGTATTACAATCGAGCCAGCACGTTCACTACCGCTTTATAAGATATCTACATTACACAAAACGTTTAACTAGGAATCTGGGTCAAAAGGCAAAAGTATAATAATAAACGAGGATACAAAATCAACTCCAAGAGGACGTGAAGCTACGAGAGAAGGAGATATAAAAGAAGAGGAAGAGAAGGAAGGTTGTCAAGAAATCATTAACGTTGTGAGTTAATGATGATGATGATTATGGAATTTATGGATGTAGCGATGATGAGAATGGAAATAAAAGTATTTCCGTACGGAAAATTTTCGGAAATGAAGAAGTTCTGCCGGGAATCAAAAGATTCTTAAAGGACAATTTATTTTTCAACAAAATTTTAAAATGGACAAATAATATAATAAAAAAAAAAAAAAGAAAAAAAAAAATTTTTTTTATTCAAAAAGACATTTCTCAATCACATCTTTTGAGGTTATTGAAACAACATTTTCCCTTTCTGTATTTTTTATTATTTACTTTTTTTTTCTTATGTATAAGTTTTTTTCCTTTAATTGTATATTCTTTTAAAATAAAGAAGATCGTAACAGAATTGATGGATAATACGGATTTTTAAGAAAATGAGATTATGCATTATTTAATCATTACAATTTTTTAAAATTTTATCTTCACTCGGTTCACTCGTTTGTATTCTTTATGACAGTTCCCGTTTATGCAAGTACTTAACATCATTGTCCCATAAATTTTTGATTTTTTGAATTGTTAGATGTTGTTCTCAACTAAAAATTTATTTAATTTTGAACAATGTAGTGATAGGACTTTTTTCATTTAATCGATTTAATAGGAAATACCGAGAAATTCCGACGCCAAAGATTACATTTTCCCATTTTACGAAATGTTCTCTAACCATAATACTGCATTATTGAATCGAAAACAAAATGGGTTTTCTTTATAAAGTTCTTTTAATTTCCCAAAATGGCTTAAAAGAGGTGATAAATATTTTTGAATAATTATCCGCGGATAGATTCTCGACATAAAATTCCAAATCCGGATTTACAGAAGCTTCCCTGAGAAACAAATTCTCCCGACCTTACAGTTTTGGATAAATAAAGTTTTAATTATAACCATATTCGATATATGTAAATATTTTGTAAGAATGATTATAGCATAATAAGGTAAGGTTACCGATATTGAACATTTATTATTATTGTCCATTATCAACTGTTATGTTGTGTATCATGAGAATAATGGGTATGATGTTATAACTTTGAGAATAATAATATTTTTTTATTTAACACGTTTTTCAATTGACTTGTCCTCGTCATTCACTTTGGATCTAAACTCTTTACGTTAATGACAAAATTCCTTTTTTTAGATCGACTAATGTTAAAATTTGATGTTCTTAGTCGATTTATTAATATAAAAAAAAAATGTTCTTGTAACTAAACAAATCCTAGCCCTAAAAATCAACGATCATCCTTTTAATTTTAATTTGGATTACATCAAGTCATATGGTTATAAATTACCATCATCTCTACATTTGGAATTGGATTAAATTTTTTTTTTATTATTTTTGTTTTGTGATTTAATTGGATTATTAAATGGGATAAGATTGTATATCATTCCCTTATCTAGCATCGAATCTTCTTTTTCGACTAATGTGTGGCGCATTTAAAAAAATACGATTAAGTCAACTTTACAACAAAAACCTCATCTTTCTAAGTAAAATTTGCAGGCGAAAAAGATATACATATATAATTTTAAAGGTTCATGCGAAGTTTATTAATCATTTCCAAAGAAGTATTCTAAAGTATTCTAAATTATAATACTGTTATATCCAAGATAACCTGTCACACAATTGAGTTGTAACATTAATGAACCATCCGAAAACGTTTATCTGATTTTACCGTACCAACAAATTTCTTGAAATACCGTCCTAAACAAAAACTTTTATTTTTAAGTGTATGTAATAAGATTTACATATCAATCAATGAAGAATTAATAGTGGGACTCATGATGTAATCGAATCGGATTATGTGTAACAAATTTATCAATCATCGGATTCAGAATTCAGGTGGCAAATCCTCTCTATTGTTTTAGATATACTGTGATACTTTTACTTTGGCTCGTTATGAATTGAATCAAACGACCTTGATTTCTTATAAATCAAAGGTATCTTCAATAATTATAAACTTTTTAACCAAAATAATTTTTATTTTGCTCAAATAAATTATGTCGTATGAATTTCTACCATTAACTTCAGAACAAATTCAAGAATTACTGGAAATTATAAATCAGCTAAGGCAACTTAATCAAGTATCACCCATTAATTTTGGAGGATTGCAGAAAATTCAGGATAAGCTAAGCCTAGAATGTCAAGTATCAATCAATATTTTTGAAGAATTTCGGGGAATTCTAACTCTACAAAGCCAATATAATCAGGCACCACCCAGGTCTTGTGAAGAATTTCCGCAGCCATTCCAGGTATCAACCTTCTACTCTCTAGAAATTAGTGGAGGTCGACTGAACGAACCTCATGTGGAGTCTTTTGTTTCTAGCCAAATACACTATACAGCAGCTCTTTGAACCATAATGGTACACTCTTAAACAATAACATTCAAGATCCCGATGACTGTGTTGGCTTCGATACTTATACTAATCAACAAGGTAATAAAATTTTTTTTGGAAATGCAAAATAAATATTATTCATTAACTGAGATTCTACCCTTCTTAGACTCAACTAAACCTATGAAGCAAAATAAAGCATTTTCATGTAAATGGGAAAATAATGAAACCGAGTGCTTACTTACATATTTGAAAGGAAATAAAGAAAAGGTTCAACAGCTCAAGTGTCGGGGTTTTAAAGCTAAATATGTTAGAGGGGATCTTTGGACCAATGCGTCTTATTTTCTTTCCAAAAATAACCATAACCGCTCTGCCGATCAATGTTCGAATAAATGGAAAAATCTTAAACAGGATTACAATGTATGAAAATTTTTCTTTTAAACTTATGGACAGTGATTAATAATTTTAATAAGATCAATTATTCTCCTTTTTTTTTAGGATGAAAAAAACTTAACGTATAAGTCAGAAATTGAAGAAATTCTTGGTAACCGAATTCTAATGAACACATTTCTAAAGAATATATGAGATATAAATAGTTTGTGTAACAACTGTAAAATATTAGATAATTTATGTAAAATCGGAAATAAAATGCCGAAAAAAAATTTTTTTTTTAAAAAATGTTATATAATAAAAAATCTTTTAAAATTACTTTTTATAATCATTTTTGAATTACGATGACGTAACAATTTGCTTATTGTCAATGAGCGACTAATCTTTAAGAACTAAGCTAAATAAAATGCTTAAACTCGAATCGTACCTAGTGTTCCGAAAGGGTCAAACCCGGGTCATTTGACCCGACTCGTGTTTAAAATCCGAATCGGAGTTTATCATTATTTGACACGAGTCCTATATTCAACCCGACCCGTCGGGTTAGGGTCATACCTTTGCTTGACCCGG